ATTTTGGCGGCAAAGGACAGGTTTATGTGTTTATATTTTAAGATCTGTGCAAGAACTTAGCTAACAGATGTTTCTCTATATCAAAGCTAATTTCAGAATTTGTTCTCTTTTTGCGGTAGACATCCAGCTCAATCTTTAAAGTAAATAGCTATATACCATTTTTCTTTCCAGTGAACACACACACACACACAGAAATAGCTGTTTGAGGTTAAATACAGTATATGTTACTTGTAAAGCTCTTTCAGACTTACTGGTGTGTGAGTTAATTATTAATATAAAATATATTTAAACTTTCACAGTGTAGAGGATCCTGGCTTCAACCATAACTATACATCATGGTTGCCATTAGAGTTAAAAATCAAACTGGAGCCAGATGGAAAGGTCAAAGTCAAAGAAGGTGACAGCAAAGAAGAAGTATCAAAGGTCAGAAGTTATCTGGTTTCTTTCACAATAACAGAAGTAGTTAAGCCTAAAATGGCAAAGTTTTAATCTGTAGGAGTTATATCCCGTTTGTCACAGTGTTTCTGTTTATCATTGACACAGAACAGTTTTTCTTTTATTTGATGCCTAACCTTTCCAAAAACATTGATTTAGGATTAAGTCCCATTAATACGGTTTTCAACTCGGGGATAAAAAAAAAAGTTTATTTTATTGAAAAAGTATGTCCTGGAAGTAGTTTTCAAAATGTATTTTTGACTCTTACTAACTCACAAACTGTTAGTTCTGTATTTTTATCTAGTGTTTTTAGACGTGCATATATTATACCAAGGCCTAACGATTATTTCTCACAGTGATGTTATAGTTAAAGAGAAAACCACATCAACAACTTTTATTCAGCATATACATTTTTTTTGTTCATTTTTCTTGTTGTATTTTAGTTCATTTCATTACACTTACCTTCCCAATTAAGTTTCACTTGTCAGAATATATCTTAGCTGACTATATAGATTTTAATTTCCTTACAATTTCCTCTGGAAAAGATTAAACAGCAAGAACAAGAAGATGACAACACTGAAGAAGAGAATGAAGGGTATGAGCTGTACCAGTTGACAGCTGTAGTTTCTGTTGTTCAGGATCCTACAGAGCCTGGTGTGAAAGATAATATTATCAGTTGTATCAAAGTGAGCCCAACTCACCATGTTCGACACCAAGGAAGTGCCTGTAGCCAGTGGTACCTTTTCAACGATTTCACTATTCTTCCAATTACTCAGGTATCGTGTTGTCGGAATTCTTGTTGTCAAATAATTGACCCTCCTTCAATAAGTTGTAATTAATTTTGGCTTCCTTTGTTACTTGATGTGAACTGAAATTTTGTTTTACGGTAACCGCATAATGGAAACCTTTCAATTCTTTCAAGGAGCAATCATTAAATGTTGCCATATCACAACACGGCAAGACAGAATTCCTAGCCACATCAAGTAAACAGAAGATTTAGTGAACACACTTTGTGGTCAAATCAAGTAAACGGGTGATTTACTAAAATGGGACTGTGAAAACTTTCTCATTTCAAGTTATTGCTCTTCTTGTGATCCACATAATAGTCACTTTTTTTATTTCCAGTAAAACTTTACCTGTTACTAGTAACATCTTTCTGTTTTATTTTGTTAAGGTATTTCGCTCTGATTACAGTTTCACTTACTCTGAATCCCATGTTTTATTCTTCTACACTCGTCATATGACATACCATTCACACCTTCTAGTATTTCAGTAGAAGTATCATTTGAGAAATAAAATTACCAGGTTTTTAATACAATACACCTGCTTTTAGTACTAGAATAACAAACAAGATTTTGCACCGAAAACATGTAATAACAGGGTATCAGAATTGTCTGATTTCCATATGGTTTTGAATATCAAACCACACAGTAGTAGCCAAGTTTACCACAAGTAATGAAAATACTGAAGATTAAACAGAGAACAAACTTGATGAAAGTGAACTGTAGGATTGATTTTTCTTCATTGAAGTATAATATGCCGGTAGTGTCTAGTTCAATACTTTGCAAATGTAAGAATGACTTATTTGTTATCTCTCTAAATATCATAAACATAGGTCAATACTTATGTTGTGAGGGATTTAAGAAATTTATGTTTTTCTTAATGATGGTTCTGAGATTATCAGCTCTAAATTAGTGTCAAACAACTAGATTGACATCACATTCTGTAATGTTTCTTTTATTTAATACATATTATTTGAACTAGTTTCATTTGAACCTAATATTATGCATTACATTAAATAGTTCATGAACTCTTTATACATTGTTCTACTTCTTGTATAATTATAAATTTTTGACAGTTACTGAGAGATCTGTATTCCTTGCAATTCCTAGTTTATTTCAGTTTGGTCAGTTAGAATGTGAAGTAAAATAAAAGGACTTTAGTGTATGCTTGTTTTGTAGATTGGGGTAACTGAAATGTGATTCAACATTTACTTAGATTTTCGGATTCATGTTATTTTTCTTGCTCTTAAAAAAAGGAATGTGTAATAAATATTATGGAAATGATGAAGACTACAAAGTGAAAATTTTTACCGTTGATTGCTTTTTTTAAAAATTTTCACAAGTTCAGAACAAATGAAATCACTGGTACACAGCTAGACTACCAGCTGGAGAAAAAACTAACAAAACAAATTAAAACACTGCATTCGAAACTAGACGTTCAACGTCCAAAAGATGAACAAAATTATTCAGATGCCGAAAGAAATTATTTAGGAATTGTGGAAATACATCCACATGCAAGTTATTAAAATATAGATTAATTGTTTACCAACATAACTGTAATTTAAAATATAGAATTTCAGCATTTGAATTCCTTGATACTCAAGCAACATTTAAACTTAAATGCTTAAGGGTAAATCATTTCAATATAAGCTATTAAAATACTGTGGGTAAACTGTGTAGGACCAGAACTTGGAGCTTAGAGATAAAGAAGCTGTAGTACCCTCCACAGAATGACAGCTTTCAAAGTTTGTTTGACCGTATAAAAGGACACATGGAAACTTCCAGTCAAGGTTCAGGAACACGGCTTCTTGCTGAAAGTTTATCGTTACAGAAAAAAAAAGGAAATTAGTTTTTGACATATTTCATAAGTTCTCATTAAAGCATGAGAAAACAAATATACTTATCAGGATGGTAAAAAAATTTTACACAGAGAAAATTTTGGTAATAAGAAAAATGTTGAAGGCAAAAACTGTCCAATAAAATTCATGTGTTGCAAATAAATCAATAAAGATCCTGTATCTTAATAAAATATTTGACAATATATATGTTTTTGTTAAGTATCTTAGTATTTCCAACTACAGCATAATGTATTTAATTAAAACTAAACAGAAAAAATAGGTCTCACACAATAAACTGTGATGAAGAATTAGCTTAATTAAGGCCCTTACATGTGTATGGATGAGAGCTAGTGTAAGATATAGTGACAGAGCAACTTCACTGTATGATAGATATACATATATACGGAACTCAGAAACATTACATAATGTACTTTAAACCATGCTACACAGAAAAAAAGGTGTTTTTGTATAAAACTTGTCATGCGAAACTATTTACATAATTCCATGACATCTGCTTTGTTAATGTGGATTGACTGTTTTAAAAACATTCACTTTAAGCCATATTTAATGGTAAATTGTTTTATGTTAGGTTCATGCATTTAGGTTCTTCAAAATGCAGTTGTTTTTTCTATATTTTAATTATTTTTAGAATTAATAACTAGAGTAGCTATACATATATATATACACATATATTTATATATCCTAGGAAACTTATGAATGTTTTCATTTTTGGAGCTTTATCATACTGCTTGAACATACCTAGTCTTTCATGTAAACCTAGTCTTTCATCATGCTGTAGTTTACATTTGTGCTAAAGCCACCAGCTGATGACTTGGATGAAGTTAGATTAAGATTGTTATCAAATACTTGAACTTCACCTTAAATGTAATACTTGTAAAACAATAAAAGCTAGTTTGAAAGAAATAAATTCAATAATTATGTTTTAAAATTTTGTGCTGGGTACAGTTTCTTTGTCGATCTAAAAATATTTAACTTATTTGTTGGACTAATGAAACATTAGTTTACAGATATCTGAAATACGTAGATATAGTTTTAAAATTTAAATATACCACTAAAAGTTGCTTTATTTGTGATTTTAAAAAATTTAAATGTTGAAGAAATGAATCTAAAAATATTAAATTTTGTTTTCATATAGATAATGTAGTAGTAGAAGTATTTTTTTTTTTTTCATCTACTTGTGTCAGATATTTTAGAATATGAATGTTCTAATAGTATACTTTTTTGTTTCTGCTAAGCCTATAATTTCAAACGTACAATACACTGTACAAAGATGTTTGTTAAATTGGTATGTCTAACTTTACTATCATTAATATTATACAGACACTGTAAGTAGTGTTGTATCAGTGGCTATTTCGAGATGATTACAACTGTTGTGATGTTAATTTCTTAAGACTAGTAAACATTAGTACGGTATACCTTAAAGTTCTGTACTTGCAGCCCCCCTAGCGGCACAGCGGTATGTCTGCGGATTTAGAACGCTAGAAACCGGGTTTTGATACACCTGGTGGGCAGAGCACAGATAGCCCATTGTGTAGCTTTGTGCTTAACTTAAAAACAAAACAAAAACTACACAAAATGTACTTGCAAAGCGTATGTGAACATTCAGACATCAATAAAACTATGACATTCATGTAGGAAGAAATAAGAGAACATATATTAGACCTCCAAACACTAGTTAATATATACCAAAACAAAGAAAATGTTGGAACTACTTGAAATGGGCATATTTAACAACATATGGTGAAAGGCTATTTTTTTTCAAACTTCAAAACAAGTTCATCATTTTGCAGATGTAAAATGAAGCTCACATTGTGTAGTTTTTGAAGTATTTTAATGACACAAGTTGCAGCAAACAAACCCTTGCATATTCTTACTGCACCGTTGTGATTATGTACAATTTTTCTCTTAATTTTTATGAATAATATATCTCCACTGTTGATTACGAAGAACAGAAATTCTTTACAAGTGTATAAAACATGTTACATTTTTCAGTTAAAACTACTCTGTATGTTTCTCTTTAAACTTGTGTTCTAGTACTGAAGAGTTTTGCCGTATAGTAACCATGTAACAAATGTATAATGAATGTTAAAAAAACGGGTATACGGAATAATATTTCCCGAGCTGTGCAGAAATATCATTACATAACAAGTTTTATGTCATAGAAAGATATGAAGAGCACAGAATGTTTGATTAGAAACTTCTTATCACTGACAGGAAAATTATAGTCTTAACGCTTTTATGGTACACGTACATAGTATTCTGTTTACATAATCAAAAAGACGAAGAAGAAACATTCATTTTCATTTACTATCAAACTTGTTAAAGTGAAAAAAAAAAAAATGTTAAGTTTAATGCAAATTATCTTTCACACTTCATCACATCTATGCTTGTTTATGAGATCATCAAGTTACTTATTTTTAATACAGCATTTATTGAAAGAAAAACTTTTTTTTTTCATCAACCAAGAATGAGGATGTAAAAAAAATAAAAAGACCTATTTAGAGGATATGTTTACTTTTGAAAATTTAATCTTTCCAAATGCCATTTTCAAAGCACAATGATACAAAGTAGGAACCGTGTAAAAACTATCTGAAAAAAATCATGATGTAAAAGTTTCAATGCTACCTCATTAAATATAAATACCATTTGAACCAGACCACCAATTTATAACACTAATTTTTTATTTTTCAAAAATGTGATATTATGAAACTTTTTAATATTTTGATAGTTGAAGTTTTATAGTTGCAAATTTCAATTTTGGGTCATAACGAAGGAAATCTAAGGTGTATAAAATGTAATGTATTTGGAAAAATAAAATTAATTAAGCTTCTGCAGTATACCTTAACTTGTAGGGCAATAACTTGAAAACTAAAACATTTGGGGGAAAAAAAATAAAGTTTTTGTTTCTGAAAATAAATATATTTTAAATAAAAAATGTTTTGGGGAATTTCCCAATCGTTCCTCTTCGTACAAAATAAAAGTATTGCTCAGGAAAATATACTAATTACATACAAACATGTATAATATACTCAAATACCTGACTTAAAGTTTTAAAAAAATAAACTACAAATTATCTTTTTCAGTTGTTCTTGTGCATGTAAAATTATGAAGTGCTGGATATTTTGTGTAGACTATGTTAATACTAGTTACATCTTCGGGGGACCGTTTTTCATCTCTTTTAGTTCAAAGTCCCATTGCAGCAGATGTGTTTGAAGAGGATATTCAACTTGCAGCTAGAGGGCTCCACCTTCACTTCCCTTTTAAACCACTGGCACATGATGAACTTCCTTTTGCTGGAATGTTGGTTGCTATGGATGCAGAGTTTGTAACTCTCAATCAGGTGTGTTTGTTAATATGGTGTGACTTGTGTGTGCTTATCTGGTTAATTCAATGTATGTGTTCATGAGGCAAACATAGTAAAAAATGTGACTTACCTACTTAGTGTTGACTTTAATACATATACTGGATCTTATCATTCAACTGTGTCTGTAAGTTAGGTGATACTTTTTGGTAATTTAGATGTGTGTATTAGTGAGACATAATTTTTGGTCAGTTATACGTGTTAATAAGGCATTAAAAGTGTGTTAACAAAGTATGACTTTTGATCCATCAGTAATGTGTGGCAGTTCTAGTCAGTCAACCACGTAATAATAATAATATCTGATTTACTGGTCTAGACATTAAGATATAACTGGTCTGATTAGTTAGGTGTTTGTGTTAATAAAACAGTGTGACTGACCACATAAGTCACACCTTACTACAAGAGTCACCTAACTGACCACAGAAGTCACATCTTATTATTGTAAGATGTATTACTGTACACCTTACTGATGAGAGAAGAAATATCTTACTACAAAACAAATCTCACTGATCACATAAGTCACACCTTACTACAAGAGTCACCTAACTGACCACAGAAGTCGCACCTTACTACAAGAGTTACCTTATTGACCAGAGAAGTTGCACCTTATTAACTAGGAACAACCAGACTTGTATATTACTGACCATAAAAGTCGCATCTTATTACCATAAACCTTACTGACTAGAGAAGAAATATCTTACTTCAAAACAAATCTCACTGACCACAGAAGTCGCACCTTACTACAAGAGTCACCTAACTGACCACAGAAGTCACATCTTATTATTGTAAGATGTATTACTGTACACCTTACTGATGAGAGAAGAATATCTTACTCCAAAACAAATCTCACTGACCACAGAAGTCACATCTTATTATTGTAAGATGTATTACTGTACACCTTACTGATGAGAGAAGAAATATCTTACTACAAAACAAATCTCAAAGTTGTATCTTATTTGGTCAGTAAGATATGTACTACAAAGATTTGACTTCTCTAGTTAACAATGATTTTATGTTAGTAAGCTGTAAGTTGAGTAGTCAGATAGGAAGGACATCAATGTTTAATAAGGTGTATGTTTGTAAGACATGAATTTACTGTTAATTTGGTGCCTGTAAGAAAGTGATTAATAGGGTGTGTATCTAAGTAAGTGATCAATTAAACTTGTAAGATGTTTTCTTATGGGTTAAGTAGGTATTTAAGTTAGCAAGATCTAATTTCTGTGGTTATTTATTTGCTTTTCATGTAATAACTCCAGCTTTTGTCATTTGATTTAAAATATTTACCATAAAAGGTGATTAGAAAATTACAGTAGTTGACAACTGTTTCTTATCAAGACAAATAGATTTATAATACACAAGTTGCTAAGGTTCTTTGTTGGAGAAAATACTTGGCTACACTTTCATAGATCTTTTTTCAGGTCTGAAGAGATCCACAAAAAATGTATCAAGACATAATATGTAACAAAGAACTCTTCCAGCAGGCTTTCTATTATAAATCCAATTTACCATTTGATCCTCCTGTTAACCATGACCCTAAAAAAACATTAAATATTTGAAATATAATAACCAGTGTTGTAGGGCTAACAGAGTAAGGTCATTAATGGCCATTTTAACTCATTTGAATATTATAAGCAATTTTAGCATTTTTTGGGATAATTTCTTAGTAAATTAATTAGTAAAGTAATGTCTTAGATTTGTTGAGTACACTGGAATGGGTGGCTACAGCCTGTTGTAGAAAAAAACAAAATTGTCGAGGATGACGTTTCAAAAGTCTTCAAGTCAGTGTGTGTAAGCTGTTACGGGTCTTTTATGGATTATGGAGGACGTGCTGTGATTGTTTGTTTTCCCCCCTAGTTCTGATTGGTGGAATGGCTGCAACCAATGGTAGCCATAGGTTTTTCACCTTTAATTTCCAAATCTCTGTTTAGTGAAGGCTTTATTGTATTGATGTAGAAATATTCTTTAATTTTTCTTGTCTTCCAAAATTTGTCTGTGTCAATGATTCTTGTGTTTTTTATACAACAGGCAGTCGCTGCCCATTCCAGTGTACTCATCATGAATATTCTGCTTAAACAATCTATCAAATAATACTGGATTCTGATTAAGAAGTTAGCACACAGGATCACATACAAAAGTTGTAATAGTTTTCAAAGAATATCAGATGTGTTGTTTTATATATGTACGTTTAAGTGAATTTAAAGACACGCTAACTTAAATATCTTATCTTGGCCTGGTGTGAACTTTGAACAGGAATTTGAGACTGTTCTGAAACCAGGAACTGCTAGAATGATGATTGATAACAGTAAAGGTACCCAACTAATGGGTTAGTTTATTCGCTTCAATATAAGTTTTCTTATGAAAAGCTGTACTACTGGTCAGTTTTTTATTTAGAGTTAACTTTGTTAAGTTAATTCTTAAGTTACTTTTCACTTCTGATCCATAGTCAGCTACTTTTAGTCAGAAGTTACTAATAATTACAGGATGATATTATTCAGATTAATACTAGTGGTATTAATAAGGATTTGATGAGACCAGAAACATGAAATCATGTGTAGAATGTCTAATTTAAAAATAATAATACATAGTCACTTCTCGATAAAAAAAAATCTTCATATTTTAGTTTTACTCTATTTGACAATAAAGATCTACTTATAGATGAGCAGTTGTTTGTATTTCTTTTCCCAAACTTTGTTGGCACAAAGATGCAAGTTTACTAAAACCATATGTTAGAAGTAACTATTTATTTTCTAAAGGAAGAAGCGGAGATTAGAAGTGATGGAACTCGATCAACCATTCGACCTTCTCAGTTGTCTGTTGCAAGAATATCTTGTGTTCGAGGGTAAACAAATTAACTCTAATCAAACATTGAAAGTGTATAAAATGTTATTTTAGTATCTTTATTTTGGACTGCATTAGATCTCATTAAGCTGTACTCGTAGTTCACATCCTCCCACTACCCCTATAATCCCTTCATATTCAAAGCTATCCCTGTATTCCTATATTTTGGTCTAAAATAGCTCATTTTCCCTATAAATACTTATAATTGACAACATTCCCCTATATTCTCACCAACTATTTTTTAACAATAAACATTACTAACTATAGTTTGTGTACTTATTCATACGACGGTGCGGCTTCAGACATATAATTTCTCAGTTTCATACTACGAGTACTTATTACCCTTGAGTACAAAATGTATATTCTATTTCAATGCTTCTTATCTTTGTTATAACATTAAGTGGTTTCAAGCTATAGGCATAAGTTAAGAAGGTGCTGGCAAGACATGAAGAAAGCATGTGTTAGTTTTTCATACGATCAGTTCAGTTGGATGCCCAAATGATATGAATGTGGTTACTTCAAACTAAAATATATCCCAATGAAGAAAAAACTGAATAAGGGTGTGTGAAAGAGATTTTAGTTCACTTTGATATTTGTTATGAAATCGCTTAAATTTATGGGTTA